GAGGGATTTGGGAAGGTGGGGAAGGAGTTGGGGACGGAGGAAGAATTTGGGGATGGGAGAAAGGGATTCGGGGACGGGAGAAAGGGATTTGGGGATCGGGGAAGGATTCGGGGACAGAGGGAAGGATTCAGGGATGGAGGGAAGGGATTCGGGGCCAGAGGGAGAATTTGGGGACGGAGAGAAGGGATTTGGGGACGGAGAGAAGGGATTTGGGGACGGAGAGAAGGATTCAAGGATGGGGGGAAGGGATTCGGAGACAGAAGGGGGGAATTTGGGGACAAAGGGAGGGATTTGGGGACAGAGAGAGGGAGTTGGGGACGGAGGGAAGAATTTGGGGACAAAGGGAAGGATTCGGGGATGAGGGGGAAGGAGTTGGGGAGGGGGGGGCGGAATTTGGGGACGGAGGGAAGGATTTGGGGACAGGGGTTGGGATCCAGGGATGGAGGGAGGGAATTGGGGACAAGGAGAGGGAGTCGGGGCCAGGGGAAAGATTTGGGGACAGAGGGAGGAATTTGGGGATGGAGGGAAGGATTTGGGGATGGAGGGAAGGGATTTGGGGACGGAGGGAGGACGTGGGGACAGGAGAAAGGGATTCGGGGATGGGAGAAAGGGATTTGGGGACGGGGGAAGGATTTGGGGATGGAGGGAAGGGATTCAGGGACAGAGGGAAGAGATTTGGGGATGGAGGGAAGGGATTCGGGGACGAAGAGAAGGATTTGGGGACAGGGGAAAGGGATTTGGGGACAGAGGGAGAATTTGGGGACAGGAGAAAGGGATTTGGGGACAGAGGGAGAATTTGGGGACAGGGGAAGGATTCAGGGATGGGGGAAGGATTTGGGGACGGGGGGAAGGGATTCAGGGCCAGAGGGAGAATATGGGGACGGAGGGAAGGATTTGGGGACAGGAGAAAGGGATTTGGGGACAGAGGCAGAATTTGGGGACAGGTGAAAGGGATTCAGAGACAGGGGAAGGATTTGGGGACGGAGGGAAGGGATTCGGGGATGGAGGGAAGGGATTCGGGGATGGGAGAAAAGAATTTGGGGAGGGGGGAAAGGGATTTGGGGACAGAGGGAAGGATTTGGGGACAGAGGGAGAATTGGGGGACGGAGGGAAGGGATTTGGGGATGGAGGGAAGGGATTTGGGGACAGGTGAAGGATTCAAGGACGGGGGAAGGGATTTGGGGACAGAGGGAGAATATGGGGATGGAGGGAAGGATTTGGGGACAGGAGAAAGGGATTTGGGGACAGAGGCAGAATTTGGGGACAGGTGAAAGGGATTCAGAGACAGGGGAAGGATTTGGGGACGGAGGGAAGGGATTTGGGGACAGATGGAAGGGATTTGGGGACAGAGGGAGAATTTGGGGAGGGGGGGAAGGGATTTGGGGACGGAGGGAGAATTTGGGGACGGAGGGAAGGGATTCGGGGACAGGAGAAAGGGATTCGGGGATGGAGAGAAGGGATTTGGGGACGGGGGGATGGATTCAGGGACGGGGGGGAAGGATTTGGGGACAGGAGAAAGGGATTTGGGGACAGAGGCAGAATTTGGGGACAGGTGAAAGGGATTCAGAGACAGGGGAAGGATTTGGGGACGGAGGGAAGGGATTTGGGGACAGCTGGAAGGGATTTGGGGACAGAGGGAGTATTTGGGGAGGGGGGGGAGGCATTTGGGGATGGAGGGAGAA